ACAGTCTCGTTCCAAAAAACAGAGTCAGGAGATGCCAAAGCTTCTTATAAAGTTAATGGAATTTCCTCCACATTAAAAACATGATAGTCAGGACCAAAATCTTTTTCTAATCTGGCTCTTTTACTCCTTCTTGGTTTAAAAACTACAGTATCTTGGTTTTGTAAAAGAGGAGTAGAGGAATCAATTTCAGATAAAATATTTTCTTGATAATTTTGACCCCCACCATTTTTAGATTTAAAAGGAAATTTTTCTTCATAAAAAATTACATCACCTAATTCAAAAATTATTTTGTTTTCAATATCAAAAAATCTATAGGCCGTACTATTTGTTGCATATCCAAGAAAAGCACAAGTGGCAGCTTTCACACCTAATTTAGGTCTTTTAGGGTCCACAAGTCTAACAAAAGCTAGACAACCCCAAACCCTCAAATATCTCAAATTTGGCTTATGCCCTTTCTACAACTCAAAAGGTGTAACTTTTATTTTTTTATGTGGCACTCTATTCATAACATAACATGCAGTTAAAATTGTTTCTCCCCACAAATTTGAATGAGCACCTGCTTCAATTAGCATAGCATTTGTTAAATCAATTAAAATTTTATTTTTCCTTTCTGCTACACCATTAGATGCAGGTGAATATGGTGGAGTAATTTCATGGATTATTCCCAAAGACTGAGCAAACGAGTTGAATCCAACAGATTCATACTCCCGGCCTCTATCACTCCTATACCTTTTAATCTTTTTACCGAATTGATTTTCAATTTCAAGAAGGAATTCTTTAAATTTTTCAAAAGCATCACTTTTATTTTTTAACAAGTATACATAAGTGTATTTTGAAAAATCATCAATAAAAGTGATAAAATATCTATTTCCACCACGTGTTAAAATTCCTTCAACTTCACATAAATCAGTGTGAATTAATTTTAACAATTAAGTATTTCTCACCATACTTTTATGAGGCCTTTTAGTTATTTTTGCTTGACTGCAAACTTCACATTTCTCAAACTTGTTTGTTAGTCTGGGAATTAATCCTAAACTACTCATGACTCCCACATATCGGCTATTAATATGACATAGACGAGTATGCCAAAAATTCATAGAAGACAACATGTAAACAGAAACATGTGCTTTCTTATTCTCAACATTTAATTTAAACATTCCATCATAGGCATACCCTTTCCCCACAAATATGCCTTTTTTAGTGATTACATATTGATCAGATTCAATAGTCTGTTTGAAACCAGCTTTGTTGAGCAAATAACTCGACATCAAATTTTTCCTCATGGACGGTGTGTACAACACATCTTTTAAAACAAGCACACGTCCAGAGGTAAAATTCAGCTCAACATCCCCACACCCAAGCACCTTGGTTAAACTGGAGTCACCAAGCATAACGGTCCTCTCCTCATTAAAAGGAGTGAAATCTTTGAACCAATCTTTATCATAGTAGACATGCCTATTGGCACCAGAGTCTGCCCACCACCCTTCTACAGATTGAACCATAAAAATATCTGTGATCATAGCCACAAATGGTTCCTCGGTAACATTAGCCTGTGGTCGAGACTGTTGTTTCTGAAATTTGCAAGTTCGAGCAATATGCCCACTTTTGCCACACACAAAACATGTCACATTTGTCAGATCTTGTGAAAGGGGGTTCTTGGTTCCATTTCTTTTGCCTCGGGTAATTTTTATTTTGTGGCCTTCCAGCATTTTTCCAAATTTTCTTAACTGGCTTCAAATGACTATTTTTATGAAATCAACCTTTAGGTAAAGTATTTCCATAAGTTAAATTTACCTTTGCAGTGGAATGTTCTTGTGTCATAAGCGCATCTTGTCCTCGTGCTTCCTCCTCCACCCGAATCCGTGTGATTAGAGTCTCCAAGGACGTCTCCTTTTGTTTGTGACACATCGACTTCTGGAACTCCCTCCAAGACGATGAAAGTTTGTCAACAATACCTGGTACAACAAGATTGTCTCCAATTTTGATGCCTTCAGATCTAACTTCAGCTACTAACATATGAAAATCTTGAACTTGCTCCACCACTGATTTTCCATCTATTATCTGATAGCGGAAAAAACGACTTGCAGCATATTTTTTAGCGCCTGCCTCTTCAGTGTCATATTTGTTCTGCAAGGCTTTCCAAATTTTCTTGGCAGTGGTGTAAGTAGTATCATAATAATCATAAAATTGATCTGAAAGACAATTCAAAAGATAGTATCGACATTTATACTCATCTGTGTTGTACTTTTTGATTTTTTCAAGATGAGTAGCATACTCCTCGTCGGTCATCTCTTCAGTGGGGACTTTGTTTGGATTTTTCTCGGTCAGGATATAAGCCACCTTGAGGAGACTGAGGTAGAAAAGCACATTGCCTTTCCATCTCTTGGAATGAGCTCCCTTGAACCGGAAGGGCTTATTGAGATCGCCGGTATTCTCATTGGGCTTCTCCAGTACTGGCTCCATGAACTTTTGCTATTTGAATCTCCTTAAAATTGTTGGTGATAATTACAAATAACACATCAGAAAATACAAATAATAAAATTACAATAACTTATTATCAGGGCTGAGGCGCGGGAAACTCGCTCTCTTTAAGGAGATTCAAGCCCTCTGTGGTTAGGCAAAGCCTCACACCGGTGCAGCAGAAAAACCTTGACTTGTCCCCCCCAGGATACAACAGCCTAACTAAGTCGTATGGTTCACCAATACTGCAAAATTGGTTGAACCAAAAACTTTATCACACACACCCTTTTTATTTGCCTGATAATCTCACTCAAGACATAACCAAACAACCAAAACTTCTTCACCTCGTGTCTATTTGTTTTTTTATATGACAAAGTTCAATATATATATATGTGGAAATGAAAACTTAGTGGAGAAGTTAACAAAAAAACTAGACCAAGACGAAGAAAGCTTATCTAGGAAGACAAGGTGGATAAGATAGGATAGACTTGGAGAAGACTTTGGATTGTTTAACTTCCAAGTCTTGGAATGGATAAGCAAGAGGAGACAAAGACCAAGACTAGGAAGACTTAAGGGATAAGTTTTGCAAGGCTTTATCTTGTATGGCTTTGGATGGATAAGCATGGTGGACTAGGCAAAGACTTATCTTGGAGGTCGAAAGATCATTATAATATTAAAATACTTGCTAACAGTTACAATAATGTGAATGGTTGTAGGAGAGTAGAATATAATAACAAGATTCAGTTAGTTGGTTATACAGTTAGGATTAGTTAGGTGATTATTTCTTATATTGAATAAATGTGTATATATACACTTGTACAGTGATGAATTCATTTAATCATTCAATGGAATAGATTCACAGATCCTTCAATAAATACTATATGAAAGTGAAATAGTATAAAGGAAGAGCACTTGGATCTTGGATAGATATGAGATATTTTGCAAGATGAATTGTGGAGGCGGTACTAGACCATCATAGTGAATGGTGGTGGTTTTCATAAAGAGAGAGAGTAACGAAAGAAGGAAGAAGAATAAAAAAAGTTTGAACAAGAGAGAAAAGAGGTACTTAAGGTAAACATCTCTTATTGGGAGTGTACAACTTTAAGGGGTTGTTTGAGGTGTCTTAAGTGTACTTTTTATCTTTTTAGACTAAAAAATTGAGGAGAAAAATATGGATGTTTGGGTTAATTTTTTGAATTTTTATGAAAAAATGTGTATTAAAAAATTGTAAAAATTGGTTTGTAAAGGAAAATTAGGACTGGGAATTGTGCAGCTGTAATCGTTGACTTTTTGTGAATAGTGTTAACTTTTTAACTTTTTGAGTAACTTTTTGACTTTTTAACTTTTTCTCAATATTCCAAACTTGGCCTAAATGATGGACTTGATTGAATGATCAATTGCTTGTAATGTTGGACTTTCGAGTTTAGAACGTTCGGAGCTTGATCTAAATTTAATTAGAAAGATTAAGTGGGTGTTTGGGAAGTGAGTTGTTTTTTGGATTTGTTTAGTTATAGGATATTATTGGAGAATTTTTTTTTTTATGTTTGAAAGGATAGTTTGACTTTTTTATAGTTGGATTTCATGTTTGTGAGAGAAAAAGTTAAATGATTATGAGATTTGATGTGATATTTTATTTGGATTTATTTTTTTTTTAGTTTTGTAACCAATTTTTCTTTTAATAAAAAATGTAACCAATTTTTCTTTTAATAAAAAAAAAAAATTATTTTCAAACACCTAAGTTTGGCCAAATTAAAATAATTAAAAATTTAAAAATAAATTAAAAAAATCAATTCTCAAATCAATTCTAGAAACCAAACGGAGCGGTGGAGTCCAGAGTCAACTCTTAGGGCACCGTGTGTTATTTTTGGTCCAGCCCGAAGGCGTAAAGTGCAATTTACCCAATCTTAAAAAAAAAAAAAAAAAACAAAAACAAAAACATGGCGTATGATGTATAGCACGGCCTTATGATACAACGCATGCCGGATGGACCGATCAGTTTTGAATTGGCTATAGCCGTGCGTGGTGGAGGGGGAGGAGAGTGAAAGAGGAGAGAGAGAGAGAGAGAGAGCGCAGTGACAGCGAACGCCTCTGAACAAAACGGCATTGCATACTGAGAGAGAGACTCCCATCTAATAAGTCTTGTTTCTCCTCTCTCATCATCGTCTTCGCACACAAGGAATTTCTCTTTCTTTCTTTCTTGCTTTCTTTTTGGTAATGTTGACAAATTCAATTCTGTTGTGTTCTGTTGGATTGATTGATTGATCGATCGATCTGGATTGGAGTGGAGTATTTTTGAGTTTTTGTTCCTTTGAAAAGAGAAAAGAGGGAAGAATAAAGAAGAGCTGGATTCCGTACAGGAGTCGTTGAAGGCTACAGCCGCCGCCGGAAACGGTCAGATCCGGTACAGATCACCATCGGCTGCAGAACTCCTGGAGGGGCAGTCGTCGTCGGGATCACTGGATCAACTGGACAAGATGCTGATGAAGCGCACCAGGCAGCACGAGTCTCTCTCCGACAAGATCCACCGCTTCAGAGGCGTAATCCTGGTGATTTCGGTCCCTCTCCTCCTCATCTCCTTCGTCCTTTTTCTCATGCCCACCCGTTCTCCCTCCCTCGACTCCTTTCCTAACCGCAAATTCTCTCCCAATAACTTCCCCCTCGCCCGTGCTGCCCGGAGTTACGCTGTCATCTTCGACGCCGGCAGTTCTGGCAGCCGTGTCCACGTTTTTTGCTTCGACCAACACTTGGATCTAGTCCCTATTGGCAAAGATCTTGAGCTTTTCTTACAGGTATAATTATAAAACAAACATCATTGATTCTCTCTCTCTCTCTCTCTTTTTCTTTTATTTATTTATTTATTTTTATTTTTCTTTTTCTGCTCTGCTCTGCTCTGCTATTCGCAATTCTCAATTATTCTCAATTCATCATAGCATGTGTCACTTTTTGTATTGTAGCTAAAACCAGGTCTGAGTGCATATGCGAAAGATCCCAAGGCTGCTGCAAATTCTCTCAAGTCCCTTTTAGAGGAAGCCCAGAATGTTGTCCCAGAGGAGTTGCGGCACAAGACTCCAGTTAGAGTTGGGGTGAGTAATTTGCATTTTTGTCTGGCTTCCACAATTTTATGTACTGAGATCTCATTGAAATACCCTAGTGTGATATAATGTTTATGCCTGTCAGTTCTGATTAGTTGATTTCTATTCAGGCCACTGCAGGTCTGAGGCAATTGCAAGGCGATGCACCCGATCAAATTTTGCAAGCGGTAATCTTAATTCTTTCTTCTGTTTGTATTATTGTTATTATTATTAAGTAGTTTATTCATACTTACGTGGATTTAAACTTTTACGTTCCAAAGGTCAGGGATTTTTTGAAGGATAAAAGCACCTTGAAATCTGAGGCTGATTGGGTCACAGTATTGGATGGGGCTCAGGAAGGTGCTTATCAGTGGGTATGTGTTTATGTGTTGGTGGATTAGGCCTCCTCTTTATTTGTGTTATTTATTTTCACTGCTGGCTGTGTTATGTGGAACATGATGTGCAAATGGTTACACATTTTTCTCTTTATTTTCTCATAAGTAAACAAGGGTCTGTATTAAATACAATGTGAGTTTTGTTTGTTCTTACTTCTCATCTTGATCCTTCAGGGCATGTTTGATTGGAAGGATTAAAGTATGGGATTAGGATTA